CCCAATACAACTGCGAATATCTCAAAATCGCTTTTAATAATTTTCTTTCCACAATTTTCGAACTTTATAATCCTCGTATAATCCCAAAGTTTCGCTGATGTAGTCTACCAATTATTAAATCACAAAAATAGTATAGCGATTATTATAGTAATTATTCGTCGAACCTAATGTCCAATTTGATATTTGTAATATGAATTTTCCATTTCTATTTTAATTCGTCCACGTACTTTTGTTCGTCTACTGCCTTGGAAACTAAGTGATTGCGGGTTTTGTCATAAGATGGTAATGGCAAAATCCGCAATCACTTAGTTGCCATCCCAATACAACTGCGAATATCTCAAAATCGCTTTTAATAATTTTCTTCCCACAATTTTCGAACTTTATAATCCTCGTGTAATCCCAATGTTTCGGTGATGTAGTCTGTCGATTATTAAATCACAAAAATAGTATAGCAATTATTATAGTAATTATTCGTCGAACCTAATGTCCAATTTGATATTTGTAATACGAATTTTCTATTTTGAACACGACAGTCTTTGTTATTCAATTCCGTCATACTCCATTTCTATTTTAATTCGTCCACGTACTTTCGTTCGCCTACTGCCTTGGAAACTAAGTGATTGCGGGTTTTGTCATAAGATGGTAATGGCAAAATCCGCAATCACTTAGTTGCCATCCCAATACAACTGCGAATATTTCAAAATCGCTTCTAATGATTTTCTATCTTTATAATCCTCGTATAATCCTAATGTTTCGCCGATGTAGTCTACCGATTATTGAGTCACAAAAATAGTACAGTAATTATTCGCCTAACGACGTTACTGGTCGTATACGATGTCACTGGTGTCAGTGAAGTGTTCAGTGGGATGGGAAAACTTGAACCAAGAGCAATTGTCACTGTCTACGTAATTTCGTTTCTCTGGACAATTTTGCAGGAGCTGTCAGACCGGCTTGTCACACTCAAACGTCCCACTGTGCTTCACAACCCTGCATGCACGGTAGCCATTGTCTCGAGGGTTGGAACAGGTTTCACTGCGATTGTACCGGAACACAATACACTGGTCCTACTTGTGGGAAAGGTAAAGAATTTTTCTTATAACGTCACTTGCTCTGTGCACCTCGTACGATATTGCGATATTTAAAAACTTCGTACGTTGCATGGTAATCGTAAAGAGAACATGCGTACAGTTATGCTTACTTGTTAATACGTAGCGTAATTGCGTTCCTAACGAAAATCATGATTTTGACGATGGAGTTTTAATCATGTTATTTAAATTATCCGAGCAACGAGTTGCCAGTGTAACGCAATAATCCTGCGAGATAATAAGATAATGCATTCTAATGCAACATTATTAGAGGCGTAATAGCAGCGCACTTATTTCCATTACTTTTATTCACATTATTTCGTTATCCTCGATTTTTATCGTTCGCGTTTCGTTCGAAATAAACGAAATTACATACACCATGTTATTACGTTATTTTTTATTTGGGAAATAACTCGTTTTATAGGGAAATAACAGATGCGCTTTGCTTTATATTATTTTTATTAAATTACGTATGATGTTATTTTGTTCTAATCAAAAACACGTTTGTATAAAGACGTATAAAATTGTATAGAGATGCATTGTTTGCAAAAGAAAGATTTTTACAGAATAAGCCAACATATCATTAGCGCATTTACGTTCGTACAAATCAGCTGATCTTGTCTCTGCTTTCATCCAGACGCGTCAACGTTGCATCTGAACGGGACGCAACAAATGACAGCGTTGATGCCAGAGGATTCGAAAACTCAGACCGAGGAGATTGTAGTTCGCTTCAAAACCACCAGACCACGTGGCCTTCTGCTAGCAACGAGTTTGGAAAACAGTTCGGATCGACTGCAAATCTTCCTGGAAGAAGGCAAAGCGAAGATGCTGATTCACATCGGGGACAAGGAAAAGGTGAGTCGACGTGTTTCCAATTTTTCGCAAGTTCCTTCCCAATCGAAAGCTTCGCGCCGATAACCAGGCAGCGGCATTTAAATCGCATTTATCGGAAAAGAAATAGAAAATTCGTTTACTTCATACGCCAGATATACGTACAAACGTGTAATGTTTTACATACAAATCATATTTGAAGCTTTATCAAAGAGTTGTAATAAAAAAAAAAAAAAAAAATATACATAAACCGATTTACAATCGACATAATCGTGAGCGGAGTGAAACTCCGTTTTTACCGCGTACGAAACTCACAGCGCTGAAAGATCCCAACGTGCTCATCAACCGTGCAACTCTCAATTTCAAAACGTTCGCCGTTTTTGCCGCTACAAAACTGCCAGTGGTAAAAAATTGAATTTATTACTACGAGCATTAACCGACTACGAATTTATAGCACTACCGAAAAAAGTGATTTGATTTCCATCGCTTTTTAATCGACATGCTCGGATGATCCGTGCTGCCTTCTTACCACAGCAGCTTTGATTTACGAATCGACGAACGTCACAGTCTCAAATCTCGTTCTCCAAAAGATACGACGAAATTACGTCCAGGCTTAACGAAGAAAACAAGAAGATGAACTTTTGTCAGATTTTCGCCAGCTCGATACTTGCGAAGTTCTTAGTTAATAATGCTACCTTTTGGGGAAAAGTGCCTGCAGCGCTGGTTGCCTGCCGGTATTGTTTAAGCCAGTCTCGTTAGAGATCCGAGAATATCGTAGTACCGGTAGAAATAACACAGTAGAATACCGTAAAAGAATATTTCGTTACGTAAAGCATTTCAGCCTTTTTGCGGTGAAGTTGTTTCTCTTACCGCAGTGCCACCAACAGCGTAATATTCAAAGAAGAAGCTTTGCTAAGGGAGGGATGCTGGTCTAAAACCAAAAGCCTTTCGACGAGATGTTCCGTGATTTAATTAGTTATGAGACTCGCGGCTAGGCTAAGAAAAAACGAAAGGGGATTTGCTGTTGTCAGATTTTGACTTTGCTACTTTTGGTCCTTGTGTTGAAATTGTTACGTTAACTAAGTATGCGAGCGTTCACTTAGTTTTAACAGAGAACGCCGCTTTATTTTCTTCTCTTATTGTTACTGTATACAATATTAGTTGTTGTTATTATTACTATTGTTATATGCAATACACTGCCACTCAGAGGCATCCGAACGCTTGCTCAACTTAAAATCAGAAGTAGAAACGACGCGTTGGTAAATGATAGGTCTGTTCAGTTCACTGTTTAAGTACAAAATTATGACACAAAATGTGACAATTATTTCTCAGTCTGGGAAATCTGACACCTGCAACAGCCGCTCTAAGCTTAGGAAATGTGCCGACAAGATCGGGAAACTGCGCAGACTAAGGGAGATCTCAGACGATCGCGAAACTATACAGTCTCGCTCTTAAAATAAATATCGTTCGTGTGCATCGTGGATTCTTAGTAGCAACGTGCGAGGCATTGGCGGTGCTCAGAGCAAATTGAAATCCGCCGATTCCGTGGCGCGCGATAACGCATGAAAATTCCAACGACCTTGCTCATCCCGAGCACGATCGTAATTCATCGGTTCATTCGGCTGGTTTTTCCGCCATGGAATAAATTGACTGTAAAAATTCAAATCGAACGAAAATAGACGCGGCCGATAGAGCCACACGTGTATTCATAATTCATAGCTCGCCCGGAGCTTCAAGTCCTCCGGCGGAAGGTGCTGCTGGAACAGAGAAAGGCGCTAGACGTTGCACCGGTGCGTATAATATTCAATCGTGAAACAATAGTTTGCTTGCCGTACCTAACTGGATGCCAGGTTCCCGTAAACTGATTTCTGGTTTAAAAAGATTCCCATGGACCAAACTGTTATCGAAAGAACGCCTGCAGAGTCTTCCCCTCGATCCTCACGGCAGAATTTACATTTTTAAATTCACATTTTTACTTAACTTAAGTAGCAGCAGGTTTGTTTCGCTCGCCAAATATTATGTCCAGTACTCTGTTTTAAATATTTCCTACACCTCTGCAGATTTTCTGCAGTTTTGCATATTACATGGATCTTGTAGATTTTGTGGATTTTGTTTAAGAAATGCTTGCACGTCTGGACATTACACAAAGGATGAGCTGTTTTCTACGTTTTTCACATTGAACTCTTTGATGGCGACAGAGCAACGAGTAATTGAGAAGATCGGTTGAAGATAATTTTTGAAAATAATGTCCTAAGAGACATCTGACCAATATCTATCTTGTACTGTATAAAGGATGGTTAGAAGCAAGTCACAAAAGAATGTCGAAGATAATCCTTGTCATCACGAGGGAAAATATCAGCTGTTCAGCATAGAATGATAAAGAGATAACAACATTTGTATCGTCGTAGAAGAAGAAAGAAAACGATAAAAAGATGGTAGCAGGAGTGGAAGCTTAAAAGCAGGCACACGTAGCACTACTGTGATAATTATCGGGGTGTATCTTGTCATACGTTCTGCCGTTTATTTCTCCATAATACTGCGACGAGCGTTGCAGTTTCCATTGGAGGAAAGTCGGCATGCTCTGTGTTCGTTATTTAATCAATGCAGCTGTCTGCTCGCTTCATTTTACCCGAGTCCAATGTGTGCTTCGCGTCACCAGACGTTTCGCCCTTCTGCAAACTGGAACCGCGAATGCGAGCAGCTTATGTACGTTGAAACAACACTGTGCGTGCTTGCAAGTTACCAGCGAGTTGTTTCCAATTGCAGTGCCTCTGAAATTTCGAATATGCCAAGAGTTAGGGGAGTTTCTTCGGCTGTTGGGCCAAAAACCAGATTAGAGTGGCGGGGATGATTTTGGGAAAAATTGAAATAGCCAGACAATCGCGTAGATACAACAATTTATTAATATTGTAATGATTAACGAAATGATAGCGTAAATGTTTGAAGCAGTTGTTTACGAATTACGTATAAAGCTGGGTAACGTGAAATAAACTTTTAGTCGGCAGATTCTGATAAAATGCTATGAAATACATCAGACACCGTCATCGACATAATTACAGTCAGTGGAAACATTTATGCAATTTCTCAGAGTGAACGTTCTCTAATTGAACCTGGAAATATTGCGAAATCGAAACGAATAATTTCCACTCTAATTTGATCAACTAATTTCCAATGTGTTTGAAACGCGTTTATTTCGACTCGATCAGCGTGTGCTTTACAGCTTCAGCTATGTTTGATGCGGTTACGCGCTGGAATGTTCAGTGCCAGACAAGCAACTGATGTACAAGCGTTGCAAAGATTGTTGTAAAAAGTCGAAGGCAGGTGAATTATTATATAAATATTATGTTCCTGTTCCTAGGAATAATTTATTATATTAATATTTAACGTATTCATTATACGTTCTTCGTTATATAAAATTTAGAATAAGTTAATAATTCTTAGAGCTGTTAATAGCTTCTTCAATGATTTTTACATTGTTTAAATAATATTAAATACGCGTATTATGAGCAAATGTTCGTTGAAAATCTAATAGAAAATGCTGGAAACTTTCGAGCAGGCACCGTGCGTTGGAAGATAAAAAGAACAGTAGTTAGGCGTGCGAGTAATTTTGAATTAAAATTTCATTCAATTTTCCGCCATTTGAACAAATCTCCTTGGATATTATGTTAGACGTTCCCAATGTTGTTAGCGAACGGATTCGTCGGTGAAAATCGAGTTCGGAATACAGTTGCGAGCGCACACATTCCCATTCCCGGTGGAAACTAGTCGAAGCTGTAGAATACAACCGCGTGCGATTAGAGGAGGCTGTAATTTACGTTTATGTTTCAATCTCGGCCTCTACACGGTCTCGATAATTGAACGGAATAATTGATACGGTAATGAACATTTCAATTACCCTGGCCAAGCGTGAGTTCTCTTACAATTATATGTATATACCAAGTCTGTATGTGTTGAGAAAAATTTGCATACGTAACGTCGTAGCTCATAAAGAGAATGGAACCAAAAAGTAACGGAAATTCGTCTAATAATTAAATATTGTAAGGGAAAAAAGGCGATGAATCGTATTATTCTCTGATCGTATTGTTTTACAGAGAAACAATCTGAGGTCGAGTAATTTCGTACTGCGTCGATAAGATATTTTATCTTGCGTTACGAGAGCTCTGTTTTTATTTCGACTTGGCTGCTGAAAGCTTTCAAAAGTTAAATTACTGCGACCATAAGCGAAAGAAACTTGAGAAAGTACAAAGTGCTAGAGGCAGGTTATTTCACTGTTTTATCCTGCATACATAAACATAATGTGACTATAAACATAGAACATAATTATTTTTTCTACAACTGTTTAATATACGACAAATAAAACTTAATTTTGCTGACTGTACACTGTACGTGTATAGCTGCCACTGTACAAGATATCTCGATTCAGCAGATTTAGCAGCTCGTGTAATGTTAAAATCCTTCTTTTTGAACATAAAATTGCATCAAAGTGAGTAGAGTAATTAATAAAGCATCTCGTGTAGCATAAAATTCATAAAATTTAACAAGAATGGACTTATCTTGTTCTCTGCGAGCTTAAAAATTCAAAGCTTGAACTCTTGCAATAGGAAAATTATTAATCCAGTGTAAAATATACTCCGCTTTTATGCAGAATTTTTAGAAAAAAATTTACATTAAGAGAGAGTATTAAATGTATTAAAATACATAATGCAAATTCGACGGTGTAGATGGTATCACTGCAAATCTTATCAATTAAATAAATAACATTGTATTACATTCGAATTGCGTTCACATATGTGGAAATAGATTCGCAGCTGTCCGACTAGTAAACAGATAGAAACGAGAATTAGGTCAGTGGGTGAACGTTGTGTGCCAATTAAATGGGTCGAATTAATTAACGGTGCGCGAAATTACCTACCCACACTTGGGTTATAAATTGGAAAACGAAATTGGGAAAGGACCCGGTGAAACGTTCGAATAACCAGCGCGAATATATTAAACTGCAAAGTTGAACTCGATGAACCTCGTGT